ATCAAAAGATTTGAAATCCCTCTAAAGCAAACTCTTCTGGTTTTAATATTACTTTAATCGTGTATTTTGAATTTTAAACATTTGAAGAACTTGCAGTAAGCTGAAAATAAGAGTAGAAGTACTACAGCTGTAGCTGATTTGAGATGCTGTTTGATGAGCAGCTGAGCCGATGTTCATAGCTTGTCACTAAAAAATAGTGTTATTTCTTATTCCTCCTTCCTAACTTCACTCTGAAGTCAGTTAAAGGTGCTAAGCCAGCAGGAAGTCAGCCACTGTGATTTTTTTAGGTGACTTGCTTAAATTCTTTTGTATTGCCTAGTAAACTGAGCTGAAAAGGTCAGCAAGTGCCAAAGCCATTGAGGGATAGTTTACAGAAGCATTTGGCTAGGAGAGGAGGAATCTTGTTTTCCTATTAAGCCAGCATTACAGTGATTACCTCAGGGCCTTATAATACCAAAAAAGTCATTTCTACAAAATAAAAAGAAAGTTAGTGTCCATATTTTGTGGTTTATGCTGGGAAAAATCCTTATAGTTGTTTGTTTGTTTGTTTGTTTGTTTTTCTCTCTCTCCCCTGTAGTGGCTATGATGTTCCGCTGAACCCTCTTCATTTGGTGCCTTTCTATGCTGGGGCCCGTTTTCATGATTTCCATCACATGAACTTTATTGGCAATTACGCTTCAACCTTCACATGGTGGGACAGAATCTTTGGTACAGACTCTCAATTCATTGCCTATAAAGAAAAAGAGAAGAAGCAGCAACTCATAATGAAGAAGAAGGCTAACTAAATTTCCAGTGTAAAAATTCTGATGCTAATACTGGTAGTCAACTTTTGCTTTTCTATAAAGCAAAATAGTGATTGGGTGTTAAGCATAAATCTTGTTCCTTGGCTACTAAGTGGTAGGGAAAAACAGCTAATTACACTGCAGTATCTTCCTAATGGGAATGCTTTCTATTTTATACGTAAGTACTGCATATATTTTAACTACAGATTTAAAGATGATGCAAAAAAAATGGAGATTACTTGTGTCTATCCTTTTTTTTTTTTTTTTTTTTTGGAAAAAAAATAAAATTCAGTTTTATCCTTAACGTTGCCCACTTTGGATCCAGGTAGAATTGTATATGTACACTGAAACGGGACTTAGTTTTTTTAAAATATATATTCATAAATTTGTAATATCAAATAGCAGAACATATTAAGTAGTATCGGCACTGTATTATTTAAATATTGGGTAAAAGTTGCTTAAAACCAAAACATCTGTTAATAGGAAGCTTGGAGAGGCCTTTTGCACATTGGATAATGCGAACTGTTAATAACAGAATACACAGCTAAACATGAGTTAGCAGAGACATTCCTGATCTAGATTTATTATGTTATTTTAGATTACAGGTAAAAAGAATGGAAGTTTTTATTTGAAGAAACTGGGTTTTGCTGCTCTTTAGAAGTTGGTCTGTCAGTGTACTTAGCATTTACATTACATTCCTCTCTATGTGTTGTAATTTGCTGAACTGACTTGTTGCTATATTTGCACTTGTGACTGATGAAATAAATGTGGCTTGGTTTGATGCGTGTATTATACCTTTCATATGATTTTTAATACAAACCTGTGATAAAAAACATGTAGGATATAGCATCTTACTCTGTTCATCTGTCTAATGAAGAAGCATTATTTCTGTTAGTATGGTCTACAACAGCTCCATCTATTAAACTACTTACAGAGGCAGCAGCAAGAAATGGAAACGGAGAACATCTTGTAAATTCTGCTGGTTCGTGTGTTGAAGGACTTGGATACGTAGCTACTCAGTGTAGCGAAAACTTTTGGGCCAAGTGCATTCTCAAGTTAAGCTACAGCTTTCACAAAGTAGAATCTCAAAATCTACTACTTGAGTTGTACTAGTAGAAAAAGCAGTAGTCTAATATTGTTGAATCTACTCTAAATATTTGTCTGTTGCACAGGAAATAACAGTGGAAGTATTTAAGAGGGGCTTAAACTCTTAGAAAGATCTTGCACTTTGTATTTTAATGTCAGCTGCTCTTCAGACTTCAGATACCACTTCATCTCCCTGTAAGTCCTTTAGAGATGTTTACAGTGTTTTGCTTACTTGAGACCACCTGAATTTTCATGCTTCTTCACATGCAGTCTGGTGTAATACTCAAAACAGGCACTCCTGTGAAAGTGCAGATGAGATCAGGCTTCTAACAAAAAAACAAGGTGTTAATGACATTCAGAGTGATTCAAATATTACTTGAGATGTGGGAGTGGTTCAGATTCCTCCTCTGCATGTGTTTTGTAGAAGCTTTTACTTCTTTATCTGTATCCCTGTTGATATTTGATGTTCTTCCCCTTCCCTCTAAAAGGAAGTAAAATACTTGACTGTAGCAAGTGAATGGAAACTGAAATCCCTGTATCGTTCAGTTTTTAGCAGGGACTTGTACTTAAGACTTCCTGAATCCATATGCACTGCCAGCCTGAACTCTCCATGGTGGAAGTGACCTCTTTAATCAGATTTCAAAGATGGCCGTTATCCTCTTTGCTTTGTCAACTCCCACTCTCATCCTGCAGCTGCAGTTATACTTAGCTTCATTTTACTGAACCCCCAGCCTAAAAATACAAGGAGCTTTCAGTGCTTCAGATTTTCCCTGTGTGCATGATTCTATTCACTGGTTCTCAGCCCGCTGGCTTGTGCCTATACACACACTGTTGCAAAATTGTGTACAACTGTGAGCCAATTGCTTAAATACTTCAGTAAAGTATCTGTAAAAGCTTGGCGCCTCCTCAGCTATTGGAGAGCTGAATCGGACGTCTACAAGCTTGATAGGATGACTTACAAAGTTACAATGTATGTTCCATTCTTCAAGACGTTTTGAAAATCAGGAATGTAATTTTAACACATTACTTATGCCATCTTTTTAGGTAGTGCATGTGGGGGTTTTTATGTTCTTTGCTCATTACTTGAATCCATATTTTTCTGACAGCTGTTGCTGTTTCAGGTTTTTGGGGCTATTTTATGTACATCTTTAGTGTACAATGTGATCACATTATTGCTTTTGATTCTCTTTCTTTAACAAATCCCTAGAGAATTATGCAAGCTGTGCTTTATAATTTTTTTTTTTTTTTTTCTGAAAAAATGTGCCCACTGGACCTCTCAACACAGGAACTTGCATTTGAAAATGACAGGCTTGTTTTGCTGCAGGACTCAGACCTGCATTCTGCCACGGCCCCACCACCTTTTCAAAAGCAGAACCTTGTATTTATTACTGAACACCATGCTCCCTGGTAAATGACCTACCTTGTTACTATGTATCGTTTATGCATATCAAAAACTGTGAGGCAATTACATTTTTGAAGTTTTAGACTTTTATTTAACAAGACTGCACTGGGGTTTTTTTTCTGATGTTTAGTGAGAGAGGCTATGAGTATGTGGAGCTCTGAAAACTAAGAGAGTTCTGTGCAATAGAAAAAAAATGAGAGCAATAAGGGTAATGGTTTTTGGCTCTTCGCAAGGCACAACAAAACCTTACACAATCTGTTGTCCTTTATCCTCTTTAGCAAGGAGGCAGATTTAACTCTTAAAAGTGGTAGGGTAGAGGGGAATAAGTGGGGGAGCAACATTTTCCACAACTTAATCTTTTCCTGAAAGTCCAGTTTAGTTTAAGTAAGGCTCATCTGTGGGAAACAGCAGCTTGCACTGTCCCTTAGGATATGACAATAATTAAGTCCCATGAAAGCCATGAATTAATTTCTTGGGTTTTGTGTCAAAAAAACATGAGAACTCAAAAAGTATAATAAATTGTTAAGATTAGGATTGTAAAATAATCAACTGCTTTTGGTTGCTGATGTGGAATACTAAATAAGGAGGTTTATATTACACTACAGCACAGTTTGCCAGAAAATGTTAATAGTGATTGATACTATGATTATATTTGTAGATTATATGACTTCATTTATTTTCCTCACTGAGTTTATAATAAATGACTGCTGAGTGTTTTAAGATCATTTTAAAGAAAAGTGCTGTGTTTCTAGATTTTTAACATTCATTTTTATTGAAAAATGATATTGTTGAAACTACAGATAGTTACTGCTGGCAACAGTGTCTGGTTCATTGCCTCCAAATCTCCATCCCGTTACTGTTCCCTCTCTCTCTCTGTCAGCTGCAGCCTTCTGGTAAATCTCAGCCATTGAAACCTGTAACTGGCAGGTCCAGGGAGAAGGCAACTTTTTGCCATTGGTTCTGGCTATAACTTTCTATCTGTGAAGGTAATAAACACAGCGGTCAAATCGCTTCTGATGTCTTGTTTCAGCTGTAGATACCAGAACTGCATGTCCAGATCATTGTCTCTAATACCACCTTGGTGGTATAATCACATCCATCCTCTTAATCATTGTCCTTCCGTCTAAACATTCAAAGATAAAATTAGCTGTTCTGCAGCATTGCACTGGAAAATATGGCCAAGTTACCCATCTATTGTGATCTCTCGATGCTTCTAGCCATGCTGCTTGCCAGGCCATTACGAGCGTGTTTTATATTTCTTGTTTTTAAGTGTAACTTGCAATTTGCTGCTCTGAAATAGTTAAATGTGCTTGACTTACCAAGTAATCTAAATCATAGTCCAGTGTTCCTTTTCTTTGTCATCCACAAATTTTAATCAGTTTTGATTCACATTTATGTCATCACTGAATAAATTAGCCCCCGGACTTGAAATACCAGTCCCTGTGGAAGACCAGAAGAATGTTCCTGTTAGATAATGACTCACCACTTAAAAAAAACAAACCCTGCCAGCCACTTTTGCAAACTCTCACAATGGTCCTGCATGGTAGTTTCTCTGTGTGTTTCTTTCTGAGTGTTTGGTGCTATAGCCACGCCACCTCTCAGAAACAGCATTGCAGGTCAGTGTCCAGGACCTAGTGTCACCCCAGGAGCAGTGATTACTCCTGCAAACTGAAACAAGGGGCCGCAATAAGCCACGGCCATTTGTGTAGGCTTGCAGTGTGCAAGTGCGAATGTCGGGTACGTTTTCTATGAAATTATGGGTGGGAGTGTTGATCTGCTCGAGGGTGGGAAGGCTCTACAGAGGGATCTGGACAGGCTGGATCAATGGGCCGAGGCCAACTGTATGAGGTTCAACAAGGCCAAGTGCTGGGTCCTGCACTTGGGTCACAGCAACCCCATGCAGCGCTACAGGCTTGGGGAAGAGTGGCTGGAAAGCTGCCCGGCAGAGAAAGACCTGGGGGTGCTGGTTGACAGCCAGCTGAATATGAGCCAGCAGTGTGCCCAGGTGGCCAAGAAGGCCAACGGCATCCTGGCCTGTATCAGAAATAGTGTGGCCAGCAGGAGCAGGGAGGTGATTGTTCCCCTGTACTGGGCACTGGTGAGGCCGCACCTCGAGTACTGTGTTCAGTTTTGGGCCCCTCACTACAGGAAAGACATTGAGGTGCTGGAGTGTGTCCAGAGAAGGGCAACCAAGTTGATGAGGGGCCTGGAGCACAAGTCTGATGAGGAGCGGCTGAGGGAACTGGGGCTGTTTAGTCTGGAGAAAAGGAGGCTGAGGGGAGACCTTATCGCTCTCTATAACTACTGAAGGGGGGTTGTAGCGAGGTGGTTGTCGGTCTCTTTTCCCAAGTAACAAGTGATAGGATGGGACGAAATGGCCTCAAGTAGCACCAGAGGAGGTTTAGTTTGGATGTTAGGAAAAATTTCTACACCAAAAGGGTTGTCAAACATTGCAACAGGCTCCCCAGGAAAGTAGTTGAGTCACCATCCCTGGAGGTATTAAAAAGACGTGGTGCTTAAGGACATGGTTTAGTGGTGGAATTGTCAGTGCTAGGTTAACGGTTGGACTCGATGATCTTAAAAGTCTTTTCCAACCTAAACAATTCTATGATTCTATAATTCTATGAAATTTAAGTTGCAGTCTATAAAGAGGCTCTACGCAGAATTGTTACATGTATAAGATGTTCACCACCCCAGCAAGAACACAGTAAGCTCTTAAATACTGGGTAGGGTTGAGTTTCAGTAACATGGGTGTCACCTAACAGGTGGAGGCAATAAAAGATTCAGTCTTGCAGTACATAACTGGAAGGAGTGTTTTTTTTCTATTCCCTTTCTGTAACCTCCTGCGTAACTGCCCCATCTGTATTTGGATTTTTAAAAATTCATTCTTTCTTTGTTTAAATTTTCTTTGACCTGCCTTATGTTAAGCCTGTTCTCAAGCTATCAAGCTACTGGAAAAGCTGCAACTTTCTATATCAACCCTGTTTTGCAAGCATCCAAGAAATAGAGCCACTGATTTGTGCAAGACATTTTGGAGGCTGGTAATAGAAGCTTCTGTCTTGAAGACATAGCTTCAGGTTTAGTATGCGTATATAATCAGCACTGAGAGAAGTTTTGTAAAAGCTTCTAAGAGCTCACAAGTTATCTCTACCTAGTTGCTTGGTAATTTGTGAACACTGAGATTAGCTGTTCTCTGTTCTAATTACATTGGAGCTATTCTATTCCTATCATTAATTTCTTAATTGAAACCCTTACCACCTTTTATCTGGTCTTTTAGGACATATATGGTCTGTAGCTGTTTTTTCTGTGTTTTTTCTGGTTTTTCTAGTTGTGCTGTGTTAATACCCTGATTAGTCTTTCAGAATTTTTCCAAGGCTTGAAAATGCAATATAACTGGATATTAGCAAGCCAAAGACAGCCCTCCTCAGAGGGGGGCTTAAAGACCAACTAGTGATTTAGCCTTGCTGATCTCAACATGCTTCTCCCTTATGCGTTATGTTCAGCATCCTACTTGCTTATTATTATTAGAAAACACTCTCTTCCTCCTGTGGGATAGTGCACCCTCTCACTTCTTTCAAATACAAACTAGAGAAGTTTATTGAGTATTTCCATGGCACAATTATTAACAGTAATTTGTTATTAATAGCATAAACATCTCATCTCCATCATAGATTGTTTTTAGGATTTCTGTTGTTCCTAATGTACTTCTATTGTTTCTAATGGACATAGCGTTAGGGTTCTCATTTTGGTTTATAGAAGAAAGTAGTTGCCTCAGCCTGCTTGTCTTGCCACACAAATGAAAAAAGTTATTTACTCAAGTCTTGTAAGCAGAACTCTCTGACTGTGAGGGTTTTCTGGAAGATTTATTTATATACTTGCTGGTGAATCATGATTTGCTGAAAAAGACAGATTCAGGCAAGTCAGAAGTATTTGAAAATTTGAATCACATTTAGCAAATTGTTTTGGCCAAAAGAATAGAGTGATATGTAAATATATATGAATATTATATATATGTTTGTGCATGTGTATATATATATTTGTCTATAAATAAGTATTTTTGGGAACGTCAATGAAGTTTTCTTCACCATTACCAAATTATTTAGACTGCGTCTGTTAGCAAAATATAATCTACTATTCGGTGTCATATACAGACATAAAAGAGAGGTAAACCAGATTTGAAATCTGCTGATCAGGACACTTTTCTGGACAGGGGGCTCTTGAGCTCTACTCCCTGCTCTAATTAATATTATTAGCTTACAAGGCCATACCCCAGAGCCTGGTTATGCATATAGGCTGGGGATGCCCTTGGGGTTAGAGTAATTCCTCTGAGACTAAGGCAAGTGCCAAACCTTTTTCCATATTACAAGGAAGTTTGGCCTTTGCCTGTGATGATAATCGTCATCTCTGAACTATGGAGAATAGGAGGAGGGATTGGATACAAAGGAACTCATCAATTTATTCCTCCTGCTCAGTTCTGCGAATGCTTCTATGCTCTCTGAGAATCTAATCACTGTTTCTTAATCCCTTATTAAAAAGAAATTAGTACATATGAACTCAAAATGAAATATTTGGTAATATAGAAAATGTCCTGTTTTACACAAGATGTGTATATGCATGTGTTTTTATAAGTACTCATCCCCTTAATTTTTTAAGGGGTAGGGGGTTAATAAGTATGGAAATTAATGTAAATCCATTCAGACCTAGTTGTGAGTCTAATTTTGTGTAGTGGAATAATAATCCACTGCTTGAAGAGATTAAAAGAAATAGATTATTTCTGAGCCTACTTCTATCTTTTAGTGACGTTGTATTTTGGGTAAGTAAATTTGAAGGGAAGCCAATGAGAGTTGCTACACTGCACAAGGTTTTTTTTGACTGATCAGAAAGTTCTCCCAGAAAATGATACTGTAAGTCTCAGTTCACAGCATCAGCAGATTTGTTTCCTTTGTGTATAAGGTGCAAGGGAAAGTGATGAAGAAAACAAGGAATACCTAGCCTGTGATGAATGTAGCCGACAAAACTGATAAAGAACGTGAATCTTGAATGCTACGTCAGCTACCTTTATTTGCAGTTCATTTTGGAGCTCTGAGAGCATTGCACATATTGCACAAAATTCTAAAGTGGCGTGAAGTCATAAACAAATTTGTAATACAATTCATGCTGTTAGGGAGGAGAGAAGTCAGAGGGATGGCACTTCCGTGATCCTAAATGTGAACAGTGATCTTGGTAAGAGAAAACAATGTATCAGGGAGCCTCTGTACATTCAAGTCTTGCAAAATGCTTAGAGCAAATTTGCATTTGCGTTGTCACAACCCCAGAGCTAATGTGACATGATATGATAGGTCTCTCCCAAAGTTTTCTAGCAGTAAGAACAGAGAGTTGAAGGCTCCAAGAAGTGCTCTGAAGGTGCCTTTGCACACGGTTGCTTTCCTGTAACCCTGGAATTAAACTGGGCAGAGAAGCTTCTGAACCCAGTTGGCTTTGAAGGGTGGTAAGGACTGGGTGAGCTGGCCTTTGGTTCTTGCTATGAAGAAACATGTCAAATAATCCAGGACAGTCAGTAAAGGACACTGAAAGTTAGCAAGTATAGGTGAATATATAAGTATCTGTATATAGTAGTTGCATTTTCAGGTCTGAGTTTCAGATGCTGGATGAGTTTCTGAGCTGGTATATCACCAAGCATCAATGCAGATGTTCTCCTAGAAGACATTATTTCCATTTTCTTCTTGGTCGGAACTAGACAATCAATAATTTAGGAAAACATCCATAGGATCACAAAGAATTATTAACAAATCTTCCTGAAAACTGATTCAGTATAAATTGGTGATTGAAGGGGATGTTATACGGGCTCACCCTTTTAGATCAGAAGAGCAGGGTAAAACACGTATTAAATTATTGAGGACAAGATTCTATTTGTAGAAGGATGAATTGGATGCGTGATTTTCAAACTTTTCAATATTTTGAACCTCTCAAAATTTCCCAGTGAGGCTTTGTGTCCTTTAAAAATAATAAAAAAAAACCCTGATGTGGAAGTTGCTCTTTAGCATTTAGCCTTTTGCTTTTATCAGTTGTCCTTGACAGGCTGTTTCGATGCAGTCTAAACACCTATGCTTATAAAAACAGCTTGAAAAAACAGATGGCTTCAGAAGTCCTGTAGCAGAGACTGTGATTTATTATTCTATTGCGAATGGTTCCTCACAAGAGCATTCCCATTGAACGTAACGGGATGTGCTCTTTAAGTATTCTCAGTGTCAGAAAGTAAGTCTTGCTTTATCCTTCGCTTTCCGAGATGCAGCAAAACTACCTTATAGCTGATGAGCGCAGCAACCCTATAGATGATGTTTTATAGCTCTCCTTGTGAGGTCAGTGAAAGACGTTCGTGTTGTTCTGCGATAGTACTGTCGGAATCTCTCACGGAGCGCTCTGTCTGCTCACTTAGGTTTTTGACAGCGGGTGGTGCACTCGGTGGGACTGCGCGAATGCCGCGCAGGATGAAAGGATTTCACGGAGCAAGATAAAGACGCAATGTAGAAAACGTGCTTTTTTTTTTTTTTCCCCTCGCCCGCATACTGGTTGATGAAAACAGCTTCAGTGCCTTTCGCCCGCACCTTGCGGCTCCGGTACGGCGGGGCCGCGCACACGCCTCCGCCCTCCGCGGGGAGCTCTCGCTCCTCCCGCCGCGGCCCGCGGAGACGGGCGGAGCGGCCGG